GGTGACTGAACGATCCTGTGTCAGGAGAACTCAGTCCAGCTCGGTCTCTGGGTTCGTGACATACTTGCAGGGACAGGAGGTGGAGACCTTGGCCCTGCTAAGTAAGATGTTGAAGGCCGTTCTTCAAGCATCAGAGCAGCTTAAATACTGAAAGACCAGTGACAATGGTCAATCAGGAACTTCACACTGTCCTCAGCTGCTGCTGGCAAAGTTCCAAGTAGAAAAAATACATACATAAACTGACATCCCGGGTCAGCCTCATGTGTTTCTGGAGCTCATATGCTCTTCTCTATCCTTAACGAGGAATTCCTAACCCAAGAAGGTAAGCAGGATATGCAATCCAGCAGAGATATATTTAGGATTCCTATTAGAGGAAAACAATCAACCAAATGGTGCTTGGTCTTCCTCCACAGTGAGGCCACTGGGTTTCCAAACAGACATAACCCGGTATGATGCAAATAAATATATAGAAAACTGTTAGGGATCAACCTTCATGAGCAAGTCCAGCACTGAACAGAGGAACAGGCCCTCTCAAATGGGAAGGACATTTTAAAGGATTGCAAAACAAATAAACTGAAATAATGAAATATAAATAAAGATGTTATATATGTATTACATATATGTATATGTGTATGTATATGTGTGTGTGTATAAAGATTATTGTAGCTCCAATCAGTGGATAAAGCATTGTGAAAGGATTTGTAATAAAATGTGGTCACAATTTATAGATGTTTTTCAATTTCCCTTCATGACAAAAGGAATTGAGAGCTGTTAACGTGCCTGGGCTTTGAATGTGAAATGGTAAGATTATCCAGTAATTGGCAAAGTTTACTGTCATGGGATTAAATAGAAAACCTTAATGTAATTAATCATCAATGTAATCAAATCCCCTCCCACCCTAACTCCAGTCTCCAATTTTGCATTTCATTCCTCCAACCTGTTCACCTGTGACTCATCGAGTCCCATTGGAATGTGTTTGTACATTATGTAGCAATGAATCTCAATGATATATACTGTGATGTATGAGAAATTAAAGATTGTCACAATATCATTTATTTTTATTTTGGATACACTAAACGAAAAAAAAAAAAAACAGACTTAATTGGGTGACTTGGCAAGCCTCTCGAGGTTCCTTTTCAACTATCATTGAATTGCTCACATTTGGGAAAATACCTTGCAAAGTGAGTATGGTAGTGAGTGTAATTTTAGCTACCTTCGTGAATAGGTTGAATGATCTTATAAAATGTTAGATTTCCTACATTATCAGAAACCATTTCAAGCTAGCACAATATATTTAGAAGAAAGATCTTACTATCTTATCCATTTTTTATCAATTTTTTAAATCATCAATAACAATTCCAATTATATCAAGAGGCATAATATTAACATCTAATCTGGAATAATAACAGCAATATTTGTCATTCATATGAATTTAAAATAAGTCTCAAGACACAGTCAGTCTTTTGTAGTGAAAGCCCTTCAAGTATGAAACTTCACTTTTTTTTTTTTTTTGAGACGAGTCTCACTTTGTTGCCAGGCTAGAGAGTGCGTGGCATCAGCTAGCTCACAGCAACCTCACTCCTGGCAAGTGATTCTGCTCAGCCTCCCAGTAGTGGACTACAGCATGTGCCACCATGCCGGCTAATTTTTCTATGTTATTATTGGCAATTATTTCTTTTTTATTTTAGTAGAAAAGTCTTGCTAGGCTGGTTTTGAACTCCTGACTTGAGCAATCCGCGCCTCGGCCTCCAGATGCTAGGATTACAGCGTGAGCCACCACGCCCGGCCAAAAAACCTCACTTCTGCCAGATAAAATCTCAGTCTGGGGTTTAACAAGAGGGCAGTATTAATCGGGTGGGCGGAGAGACCCTCTCCAATAAAAGCCCCTCGCAGGTCAGCTTCCCTCCAGATCTGAGCTGTCCCTGGATGCAGCTGGAAGCCAGGAGAGAACCTAGCAGAAGAGAGGTACGTTCAGACTCTCAGACTCGTGGAATTTATTTTTACTTCTCAAATTTCTATGAAGGGAAGATGTGAGAGAGTAAGGTCTGGCTAATGGGGCAATTCCTTAATTGAGCGAAGGTTGTCTGAGGCCAGCTCCATGCCCTGCACCTGGGGACTTTGGCTCCTCTGCCCTGGCAGCATTAAGTAAAACTTAAATTCTCAATACCCAGGTTAGAGAAATTACTATGTCTGTTTTCTTGAAAAGAACCAGAACTTGGCAGGTTTTTTGAGATGGTGAATAGAACTCAGCCATGGACCTCTCCAATGTCTCAGTTCCGCTATAAGTTTTACTTTGTTTGGTTTTCCTGTGCTCCCCTTCTGCCAGCCCCTGGCAGCCGCCATTCTAGTTCAACTCTCTGCATGTGTGAGTCCTAAGTTTTAGATTCCACATCAGTGAGATCAGACAGTACTGATCTTAGTTTGCCTGAATTACTTCACTTACCATGATGCCCTCAAGGTTCATCCATGTTGTTGCAAATGGCAGAGTTTCCTTCTTGTATATGCTGGAATTATATTTTATCGTATATGTGTATAGATACACACATGAGAATTTCTTTATCCACTCTTCTGCCTACAGACTTTGCATTGCTTTCCCATTTTCGTTATTGGAAATACTGTTGCCATAAACTTGGTAGTGCAGGCAGCTCTTGACATACTAATTTCACTTCCATGGTATGAGAGTAAGGTTGCTGGATCATATGATGGTTTTATCTTAACTTTTGAGCCACTTCCATACTGTTTCCTATACTGGTTGTACCAATTTACAATCCCATCAACAATGTACAAAGGATTCCCCTTTCTAAACACCCTCTACAAACTTCTTATGTTGTATTTTTGATAATAGCCAACCTAACATGCGTGAAGTGGTATCTCATTGGGGTTTTAATATGTTTATCACTGATGATAAGTGAACTTGAGTACATTTTCAAGTACCTGTTGGGCAATTGTATGTGTTCAAACAAATGTCTGTTAAGGTCCTTTGCCTATTTTAAAATCAGAACATTAAAGGGTTTTGGGGGGGCGTTGGTTTATTTGGGGAGGGTTGCTGTTGAGTTACAGGAGTTCCTTATGTGGTTTAGATATTAACCTAATATCAGATATAAGGTTTGCAAATTTTTTCTCTCATTCTGTAGGTTTCCTTTTTATTTTGTTCCTGGTTTCCTGTTCTATAGAAAAGTTTTTGAATTTAACATAGTCCAACTTATTTACTTTTTGTGTTTGTGCTTGTACTTTTGGTGTGAAATTATTCTGTACGTTTTGTGCCACATCCCAGTTGGACAGCTGGGGAAGTGGGGGGTCTCCAGTGCCCCCCAAGAGAATCATAATGTGACCCACATTTGTAGCAGCCACATGAAGGACAATAAAATCAGCACAGTGAATTTTAACTCATAAATATAATCGTTTCAACATGTAATCAATTTTTTAAAGTTCCCATGGAAAGAGTTTACATTTTTTTCTCATTGTGTCTTCAAAATTGATAGGCCAGGACTGATGACAGAAAAAAAAAAGACAAAGAAACAAAATTGAGTATGTACTTTATACTCACAGCACATCTTAATTCAGATCAGCCCCATTCCAGGAGCTCATTAGCCACCTGTGACTCGTGGCTAGCGTATCAGACAGGTCAGGTATGGACCCTATAAAGCCACTTCACTGCAAAGATTTATGATGGCTCATGTCCTTCATTCCCTCTAGCATCTCAGATATCAGAGGTTCAGGGCCTATAGTATTTTATATTTATAGTGGTGTTGTCTCTTCCTTTCTTAGTAGCAGCGATTACAAAGAGTAGGCAACTATAACTTTATGCAAGAAAGATGAAAGTGTCCCGAGGACTGTTAGCTATTGAACACGTGCAAATTCTAATATCCTGTACATCTTGTCCAGACAGTGGCCATGGCTGAACACTTTAAAGAAATAAGCTCATGCTCTCTCTGCCTAACTTACCTCGAAAAACCCGTGCACCTGAAATGTGGATACCTCTGCTGCCTGCGATGCGTCGACTCACTGCAGAAGGAGCCCCACGGGGAGGGCTTGCTGTGTCCCCTCTGCCCTGTGGTCTCTCAAAAGGGTGACATCAGAGCCATTCCCCAGATGGGGGACCTGGTTTCCAAGGTTAAGGAACTGGAGCCCCAGCTGCAATGTGTTTTACAGATGAACCCAAGAATGAGGAAGTTCCAAGGTAAGGAGTCTGTTCCACCTGCCCCAAACCTATACAGGACCTTGGCAAAACTGCTTTTGTCTCCTCATTAAATATATTAGCTAATTTCTGGCACCTAAAACTTTTATGTGCCCCAACAACATCTGTCCTCATCTCTCAGTATACATCAGGACCACCTGGGGAATTTTAGGGGCATACAGCTTTGACGTCATGTCCCAGATCTGTGCTGTCAAATAGGGTAACCACTGGTAGCTACTGTGCACTTGAAATGTGGCAGTTCCACATGCAGGAATATTTTGAATATACTGCATTAAATGAAATAAATCATTACAAATAATTATACCTGCTTCTTACTACTTTTTATGTGTTTACAAGAAAATTTATTGTGTTTACCAAAGAAACACAATATTTCCTTGGGCAACATGGACCTGGAAAATGGCTTCTCACCTTGCATATCTACATGAATTATTTGTTTAAATGCTGGTTCCAGGGCTGCAGCACTGGGCTGGCATGAGAATGTGCATTTCTGAGAAGAGCTCAGGTGGTCGTGATGCTGCAGCTCCTAAACCACACTCTCGGCAGCGAGGACATGCACAACTGGCAGTGAAGCCCAGGAATCTGCAATGTGCAACCTCTCAGGTTCTGAGCCATGGTGAGTGTGGGCAGTGAATGTGCCTCAGTGCTCAGGCCCCCAGGCGAGGGTGGCAAAGGTACCTGGTGCTGGTAGTTCCAGTAGACACCACGCTGAGCACTGAAGCACCTGCCTCTCTCGCAGACACAGAACTAAGAGGAATAATGCCCGATTCAGCATCAACTCTGAGTTAAGGTGAAAGGTCACAGAGCAGCTGCATATATAATGTGCTAGTCAGGATGCAAGACCAGACCTGTCAGATTCTTGAACCCAGGGTCCTTGGTGTGTGCCAAGCCCTGGTTCATTCTCTACTCCCTGTGCCTGCTATAATGTGTCTCACAATCAGCACTGGATGTGTGGGTATGAATATGACAAATGTGCTTAGGCAGCCATTTCAATCTGCGACATCAAGTGTGAACAAAATAGACTACTTTCTTTTCTTCTTGCTGCATTAAAACTTGTATGTGGAGTGGTGAAACCTGTCCCAGATGATTTTTCCTTGACAAATCCTCCGTGAATGTTGGAAAGTCTGAGCATTTTCCTCTGAGCCAATTCATACTGGAGCTGAATAAAGTTATTAGTCTTTCATACAGAGGCTTATTTCAGAGTCTGCCATTGGCTCCATATACAGACACGTTCGAAAAGGCAGCTCTCTGCACCCATCCTGACAAATTAGGGGTAGTTGGAGATGTTGGCAATACACGTAGTCGTTCTTCTCCAAGTTTACCTCTGAATACTGCCATATTCAAGTTCCGCAAATAAATTGCTTCCATGATCCCAGCATCCCACTCATATCCCTGGGAATCATTTCCTCTATCTTGACTTCCCCAGTTAACCTCTTTAATCTCTGCACTCCGAGAATATCTCTTAATTTTTTATATAAACCCAGGAAAGAAACCTGGAATGCAATTGTCTAATCAACAAGCCTCAATGAAATGTTTGCCAAAACAATTTAGTATTCTACAGTTATTAACATATTTACCATCCTTTAAATTATGTATTAGATAACTATACATTCATAAAATCTGTGCTACTTAGCATAATTGTGAGAGCAAACTACAGTCTTTTCCTTCACGTCTCTTATGTACTAAATGGAAAAAAATCTTTAAACAAATTATCCAAACTTAATGCCAGAGGAATTTCTATTACAAATTCATGGATTTTATACATAACATTTGACATAATAAGGGGGGGCCAGGTAAGTTGCCCCAAGAAATTCTGATCATGGAAGAAAAGTAGACAAAGGAGTGAAATGAAATGAAATGTTTGGGTTTTTGCAGCAGAAGGGATGAGCGAGTCTACAGTGTGTCTTTGCTGAACTCTAGTTTTTCTCTCCACAGTGGACATGACCTTCGACGTGGACACAGCCAACAACCATCTCCTCGTTTCTGACGACTTGAGGAATGTCTGTTGTGGGCATTCAGAGCAGCATAGGGAAGAGCATGCAGAGAGATTCAACCATGCACTGTGTGTCCTGGGCTCCCCTCGGTTCACTTCCGGCCGGCATTACTGGGAGGTGGACGTGGGCACAACCAAAGAATGGGACGTGGGAGTTTGCAAAGAATCCGTTAATCGAGAAGGAGATATCCTTCTGTCCTCAGAACTGGGCTTCTGGACTGTGGGTTTGATAGACGATCAGCTCTACACTGCCAGCACCACACCTTTCACAGGTCTCTGGGTGCGTCCCCGGGTACGCCGAATGGGGATTTTCCTGGACATGGATGTGGGCACCGTGTCCTTTTATAACCTCAGTGATGGGTCCCATATCTTCACATTCACTAAAATTCCCACTGCAGAGCCACTGCGCCCATTTTT